TATTAATATAATTATATTATAGATTATAAATAAATAGATTTTAATAAAACATTAATAAAAGTTTATAAAGCTAAGAAATATTTGTATATCCTAAAGATTATTAGGTATAAATTATTCCATTATAATCTAAATATATTCTAGTTTTATTATAATTCCTATAATTAAAATAACAAAGTTCAAAAACTCAATTTTATTTATATAAAAGATATATTTCTTTAGTTTTATATAGAATTTATATTTAATAAGATATTCAAGAATTTTTCAAATATTTATTATATATATAATCTTATTCTTTGAATAAATTAGAATATTATTTAAATATAATATATAGATATTATCTGTTAAGCTTATTAATACTTGATTAATATATATCTGGAATATTATTAAAATATTAATAAAATCAAATAATATTACTTTATATTTATATTGATTATATTATATATAAAACATTGTTTTTTATTTATTTCTTATTTATATATAAATACAATAATATACATCTCTTAAATCTAATTTTGTAAAAATAACACTTTACTATAATCGATTTAGGGATTCACTAATAAGAGGTAATAGGATTCTATCTTTCTTTATAATTCGATTTAATTTATAATAATTGATATATAATTAATAACCTTCCCTCTTTTTAAATATAAATATAATTAAAATACTTATTAAACTAATTAATCTTTTAATTCATTCTTTTTTCTAATATTCTTTAAAATATTTCTATAATACTAGAAATTCCTTTTTTAACAAAAAATAAATAAAACCTTAAAAAAATTGAATCAGATTCGAAATCAATATAATATTTTATCAAATAATAATTAAACAAAAGATTACTTTTATTCTTTAAAAACATTATTTCATATTTTTTGAATTCCTTTAATATAATAAACAATTCTAATATAAATACTATATAATTCTATATTTTTAATTAATAGAATATACTATTATCTAGGAATATTATAAAAATTCAATTACCTTATTTTATCTTTCAATAAAATTTCTTTATTAGAATTATCTTAAAATTATTAAAATTAGAATAATATCAAAAAGATATTGATTTTTAATTGATATCTAGATTTATTACTTATAATTAAAATAGATTTAGAATAATATTCATTTTTAATAAGTTTAATATAATAAAAATAAAATTATAAATATAAATCCTTTTCTCTTTTTTATTATCCTTTATTTTTATAGCAAATTTATAATCCCTATACAAAGTAATAACAATATTATTTATAAATACAAATAAAATACCCTTTTTATTTGATATTTAATTCTATTTTGTATATTTATTTTATTAAATAATATTAATTTATACTTCTGAATTAATAAGATATTAAAAAACTATTAGCTTTTTATTTATATTAAAAAACATAATAATTATATAAATTATCTTCCCTTCTTTTTATAAATCTAATATTAGAAGAATACTTATTATAATAATTGAATTTAAATATTTTCTAAACAAAAAATTTTAAATATATTATTTAAATAAATAAAATTTCTATATTTTCCTTTATAATATTTATATATAATAATATAATATCTTTTATATTAATATTTATAGCAAATAATATTTCGAATGTAATTTGTGTATAATATTTCAATAAAAGGTTTTTCCGATTTGATTATTAAGTTTTTTATTAATTAATTTAATTCTTGATTTTAAAAGGTAATATTTGTAAATATATTATTTTATATATAGGGGTATTTTAAAGAGAAATCTGATTATAAAAAAGAATGAATATATTTGTATATTTATTATAACTTTTTAATATTTTTATTTAAATATAATTTATTAATATTTTCTAATCTATGGGTATGTTTAATAAGTTTAAAACAAAATTCAAATTACTAGAATAATTTAGATATTTTTTGAATCAAATTAAACAAAAGATTTATTAATAGCTTTTCTTTTTGAATATTATTTAGTTTTTATTTGATATCTTTTTCAAAATCTTTCAAATATATTATAAAAGTATTTATAGTTTTATTCTTCTTTTGTTTTATATATATAGTTTTTTGAATTACTTGTTATTATTAATTCCCTTTATTTATAATTATATTATATATATATTCTTTGAAGTTTTTTTATTTTATTATTTCATTAAATAATTTGTTTCTATATTGATACTAAATTGCTAAGGATTGCTTTTTAAAGTATTAAATAATATAATTTTTATTTTTTTTATTTATTGAAAAATGATATTCACTATTATTTCGAAATATAATCTTTATTTGAAAGAAAAAATCTTTAATTTCATTAATATTCTTTTCTTTATATTACTTTAGTTTTTATAATTTAAAAGACTTTTCTTGATTTAGAATAATAACCCTAATAATTGTATATATTATAATTACAGAGTTATTATAATTAATTAGAGTGATTATATATAATAAATAGTTTATCATTATTTTGTAAGCTTTTCTTATAACAATTATTTTTTCTTTTATTTCTTGGAATTATTGAATTAATAATAAATCCTTATTATCAAAAGATTATTATAATTGAATTATTTATATATCGATATTGATTTCTTTAAAAAAATTAATTAATATCTCTATTCAATTGATTTGGGATTATACTATACAAATTATAATCTTTAAATATTTTTTTTATAGAAATTATATTAATATTAATAGCTTTTTAATAAATACTAATTAATAAATTATTTTATTAAAAAATAAAAAGAATTATTAAAATAGATATTAATAATAAATCAATTAAGTAAAATATAGTATAAAGATTTTTTATTAATTCTTTTAAATTTATAAAAACTATATAATATATATATATATATGCGGGCTTCCTTTGATACACGGTAGGCCCAAGGGCTTACTATCACATGCCTAATGGAGCCCTTTAGTTCATGACCGTGACACTTTTAAAAGAATTTTTTTTATAATAGAGTTTTTACTATAGCATTTTGAAAATGAAAAGATATAATTTATATTCTTTGTTTATATATTCTTTATTTTTATATTCTTTATTTTATATCTCTTTATTTTATATCTTTCTATTCTATATCTTTTTATTTACTTATTTTATTTATATTTAATCTTATTTAAATTATTTATATAAATAATTCATTTTTAGATTCTCATATTAATAATAAATGGATAAAACTCAAAAAATATTATTCTTTTATTAATAAATTACTATATTATATTATAATTGTTATACTAAATCCTATACAAAAATGGTTATATTTCAAAGAATTTTGGAAGGAATTTTATTTATTATAAATCAAAAGATAAAAGAATAATATTAAGAGATTTTGGAAAGATTAATATAAATTAGATTTTGAAGATTTATTTTAATTAATATTCAAAGAAATCTTTTTTAATATACTAATTATATATTTATAAACTAAAAAGGTATTTTATTATATAATAAACAAATATATAAAATATCTTATTATTCTTTCTTTTAAATATATTTAAGATTTTTATAAATAATGATTTGATTCTATATAGTAATAAGTATATTTTAATTTAAGCAAAATAATATTTGATTTACTTAATATTTTTAATATATTTATTTTTATCAAATACTTATTTTTTTCAATAAAGATTATTATTACAAAATGAAATAAGTTTAAATTGTAATTATTGAAAGAATAAAATATTTGAAATTATAATTAGATTTAGATTTATAAATAGAAAATGATATAGAATTCAAAAATTTGAATAAATAAAAAATAAAATTTATTCTTTTAGATAATATTTTTTTATTATTTAAATTTTATTAGAATTAATTTTGATTTTTAATATTATCTTTTATATATTTTTAGATTTTTATATTTCAGTTTTTCTATATATTTTTGTAAATATTAGCTTTGAGTAATATTTATAACAATGAGTTTTCAACTATTTAATACATATTAACTATTATATTAAAAGCTTTATATACGCCATCGTTTTACTGTAGTATACTATTGCCTACACTGATTTCATGAAAACTGTATAATTCCATGGTTCGAGACTGCTAATAACAACAAAGTAATATGCCCCATGTGCCGGGATACTCGAGAGATGTACAAACCTCCGAATTTACTTGATCACGAGTAGCCGGTCTTTAGGGACGATAGCTGCGGCTCATAGTGTGTTCTTGCCCTTTACTTTCATTCACAATTTCTCGTCTGAAAATCTTCTATTTTTAAACCCGTTTCATTTTCTCTGTAATTATGAGTCTATGGACCTCAATTTTATTTCTCTTCAATATTTTATTTCGCTCTCTCTGTGACCTCTATACACTCATTTTTCCTGTGTTCCCACCCCTCGTGTCTTCTCTGTGTCTGAGTGAGAATGCGTCCTGTGTTTTAGACCTTGCCCTACAGTTTTCTCAAATGGAGCTTACATTTTCCTTGTCAATTTGCCAATGATGACAAGTACACCCCTTAAAGTCCTTCAACTACGAACCTGATAATGAGTTCGACGATCTATATCGTTACACCCCGGAAATTTTGCGATTCAAATACTGTTGATAGGACTGGTTTCCTGGACTCATACCAACTACTCAATGACAGTACCATGCTTCAAACTCGGTGTTGTAATATTGTTCCACTAACCCTTGCATTTCCTTAGTCGGCATAACACTGAAACTTTGTGGACACCAATGTGGTGTTACTTTGAAGTCTCCGAGCACTTGTCGGTAATACTTACCTCGATTTTAAAGTTATTAATAGCTCTGCGATTTTACCCCTCTCCGGACTATTGATAGAATTCACCTGGTATAGAATCAGGCAATATCCAAGTGTGATCGAAAACAGAGCCAGTACTCTTGTCAGTGAATTGTATTAGTAGCTTGATTTTGATCAACACTCATCAATTCTACACCGCTTTGTTTTTAGCGAGTATTTTGAGTCTAATTAGGCCTCGCTACGTTGAGGACATATAAATCTCGCTCCTTAAAACAAATTTTGGTATAAGTGTTCATGTCAATTTACTACCTTGTCACCCTCTACGATAGATAATTTGCACTTACAGTTCCGATGGCGATGTCTATCGAAGGATCGAAATTAAGACATGATCATGAAAAAGCACCTATACACAGCGCGGGACCATTGGAAGAAGACGGCGGTTTCATCCATACAGATAAGAAGAAATCAGAAGGTGTATTTAGTCGATCTTGGCCAAGTGGTAGAGAGCCATATTACCCAAACCAATCATCAGTGTTCCACGGTTGTCTGCATCATGAATATGTAATGGAGAGGTGGAACATGCAAGCTGTGGATTTAAGTCCTGATAACACTTATGAGGTTACTGTACAAAAACACGCCTATGGCGGATGGTTTGAGGGTCTCGAATTCATCAAGGATGGAAAGGTGTATATCATTGGCGCTGGTAAGTGACCCATTTCAAACATAGCAGAAGGTCAAGATTGACTCATGTACCGAACACAGATATTCAACTCTTTGGCGAAAATAATAGTTGTGCTACCACAAAATTCATACATATTGTTAAAGATGATGGATATACATATATTGTAGCCCAGCCTATGACATTCTCAGAGCATCGCCTTCGAATAAATATTGAGGATCAAATATCTCCGGAAACAAAAGACATGGGACAAAGACTAGGAATTTACCCTGTTGAAAACTCATGGAACCTACCAAGGTCACATCGTTATCATATCCTCAATTTTCCACCAGGTATGATTGGGCCATTCCTCAGACTCAGATCTTGAACTAATACTTACAGAAATCCTCCACATAATATTTAAATACTTGTTATGGGTCCCATATGCGTTTGTGGAACCAGATGTTATTATCACAAATGTGGTGAAGTCATATGAAAAGTTCAAGAAGCCCACCTACAAGGCTACTCTCTTGAACGAGTTTCTTCCAATGCACAACGACGATGCCACATACCAACCCTGGAGAGGGTCAGCAATGATTAAAGAAAAGAAGATATGCCATGGAGGAAGGGAGATCATACAATTGAACAGGATTTTACGCTTAATGATTGATGCGACTTGTCTCCGAACTTGCAGGGAATTTTTCCAATTCGGTTCTGCAATTCTTTACGGGAACAACATCTTCAAGTTTCCTGTAAAAGCTATCGGGCCCTATAGAAGTGAAACATGTTGGATCGATGGAGAGTTTTAGAACCCTGATCGTGAAAAGCCGAAACTTGGTCAATTATATGATTGGCCACAAGCAATTCCCTATGTCATGGAGCAGATTCGGCAAGGCGTTCCACTAAAGGAATTCGCTGGCTGGGCCTATCACGATCTATTCCTTCGCTTCCTCTACGTCATTCGTCCAAGAAATGTAGACCTGATGAAGCATTTATACTTCTGGGGAACAGTATCAATACACCGCTGCAATTCAAATTTTCGGGATGGTAGATGTCCCAATTGCCCCGTCAGTTTATTTCCCGAGATGTGCATATATATCCAATTCATCAACGAACTCTGTCCAAGTGTGGAGAGAGTTACATTGGAAATTGATGCACCGACCTTGTCCAATGCATATGATAGTACTTTCTCTATACAAAAAGAGAGAGACTTTGAGCATACAATTACTCCGTTCTTGATGAACCAGATCCGAGAGCTCAACTTTGTCAAGTCTTTGACTCTTCGTTCTTGGGACACAGGTGGGTTGAAATACGCCTACGACAACCCTGATCGGATTCATGGCTCTCAAGATCTGGACTTTCCAATTGCAAAGGAAACAATCAGATGGTTCGAAGACAGGGCGAAAGGTTGGGCAAAGGAAGAACAGTAGAATACATTGAGTTAAATGACTGGTAATCGATGATTTACACATCTATGTCTCCATCTTCGCATTTCAAATCGATCAATTCGTGAATTAGAGCTTGCACTTCTTCCTGTCAGAGCTTTGTTTGTTCTAATAGTACCTATCCAGCGGAAACTCAATTTTTTGAATTCGCGATTGACCTAATATTCCGTAAGTTTGGGCCACTGAAATTGTCACTAGTCTGGAAAGTTGGTCTCGTAAAAGTTGGGTAGCATAGCAACGAATGCATCGTAGATCACATGTATCAAAAAGTAGATAGTTGTAGATTGTGGTATTCATACTCTATATCATTATCTCATGTTTGAATTAATCTAGTCTAGTCTCGTGTCTACATGTGTCCTAATCGTCAAGAGTCGCCCTTTCCACTTTCCAATGCCCAATCAGGGTATATAACTCCTTTATCTTAACCAACCCAAAAAAGCACGCAAATGATGATTTCTTTTCTCCACAACTGCAGGCTCATTTCAATGTTTCTCCGGCCCCACGACCTTCTCGCCCTGCCCACTCTCCAAATCCCTCTCCCTACCGGCCTCGTGCTGCACAGCAATCTCACTCCCGGTCACACTCCCACTCTCCTCCTCCTCCTGCTGTTCGTCTCTAACAATCGGTTTCTCGTCCGGTCTCTGCAATCCCTTATCTTTGATCAACACGCAAAGACACAGACAAACCCCAATAATCGGTACCCAAAGTAAGAACACACTTCTACTCGCTCCCATGTACGCATCTAATATTTCGTTTTTCTGTCCCGTTGTCAGTTCATTCAAATTCGGAACGCTCAATATCGATGCTAAGATTGTGTCTTTGAATCCTGCCGGTAGAGGAGTTGCTAGCGTATTTAAGCGGGACTTTATGGAATTCGAGAAAATAGCCGAGGAAATCGCTAGACCAATTGCACCACCCAGAGCACGTAGAAAATTCCTAGTAGAGATAACGACTGCTCGATCGCGCTTAGTACAATGGGCTTGTGCTGCTATAAGCGTAGGTTGAAAGACGAATCCTACTCCTGCACCTTCAGTCAAGAGGATCAAGACTATCTTCCACTTCGGTAATTCCCGAGAGAACAAGAGAACGAGGCCTGATCCTAGAGTCCAAAGCATGAACCCAATCCAGATGATTTCGCCATAGCGTTTAGTCCTGGAGATGTATTGCCCGGATACGATACTGAAGCTGGATTGAGTGGCGACGAATGGAATGGTGAGTGCGGCGGACATGAGAGGTGAGTATTGGCGAGCATTCTGATAATAGATTGGTAGGTAGTAGAGGTGCGAGTAATAGACTATACCAAAGAGGAAGTTTTGGGTGAGAATGGCGAAGACAGCAGGGTTCTTGAAAAGGTTCAAAGGTATCATCGGCATAACAGCAAACTTCCATTCCACAATGAAGAAAGCAACTAAACAGATACCACCCAGAGTGAGCATGGAAATTACCATGGGACTGGACCATTCAAAATAGGTACCGCCGCCAGAGACAGGAATCAGGATGAGCATAATGGCTGCGGTCACGAGGACGATTCCTGGGTAATCGATGACTCGAATTTTGGTCGCTGTCGAGCCATGAACTTTACTTGGAGGAAGTGTGAATGCTACCATAATACCTGAAAGCACTGCTAGCGGGCATATACACCAAAATAGGCCTCTCCACGTTGAATTCTGAACAAAAGCAGCTGCCAAGAATGGTCCAATGGTATTGCCCAAACCGACACATGATCCTAAGATCCCTTGATACCTAAAGCTCGTTAGTTCATGACCTACGAAATTAAATTTCCAATAAAATAAATCATGATCCGACAATCAAGGATTTTGAATCTTCAAATCCACCAAAACTTTTGTAGTCTGAAATACTAATTTCAACCATTATAAGCGCCTCGTTGTCGGACTGCAGTCCGAATTATTGGATAATCTGAATGTGACAGCTGGAATAAACTCACTTTCCACGATTCTCCAGAGTAACCACATCTGATACGATCATCATGGCCAAGGCCATGATCCCACCGGTCCCCACACCAGAAATGCCCCTAAAAACATAGAGTTGAGGACCCGTCTGAGCGAACCCACAAAGTAAATCTCCGAGCGCCAATAATCCCACAGCAGTGAGGAAAACCACTTTCCTTCCCAAGATATCTGATATTCTTCCATAAAGAACTTGGAAAACTGTATTGGCAATCAAACTTGAAGTGCCTGCCCAAGAAATTGTAGTTGCAGCATTAAGATCAGCTCCGATTGTTGGTAATGCTATACCAATAGAATTTTGATCTATAAAAGTGATGAGGAGAGCAAATGCTAACCCACAGAAAACTACTATTAGTTTTCCTTTGGGGAGAATATTTGTTTCAATTCGGACCAATTCATGGTCATGCGGTCCTGCCATCGTAGCCAATGAAATATGATCGTTTCAAAGTAATATGAAAATGATTACTGGTGAAAGAAGAATGTAGGGGAAAGAGAGATGACGCAAAAAATATCGAGATACTATACCTCGACTTAAAGAACCATTGAGTTCGCTATTAAGAAAACTTACAGGGGAAGAATTCTAACGGATAATCGGCACTTATCCGCGTTTGTTGTAGATCTGAATCAAGCTTTTCGCAAGCGCCCCTTCATCTTGCTGGTCTTTTTTCGTTTAGATACATCCTTTTTGATGTTTGACAGGCGTCAACGATTTGACATGCTTGATAGAAGGGGCGGTGACATACATCTCGGAGGCAAAACCCACGTCTGCTTGCATAATCAAGCTGTGTCTAACCCCGAGAGTGACCAAATCGCACGCTTGCTGGGAAAATTTTCAAGATTTGCGAAAAGCGGTGTTGCGAATCCGACTATCGGACGAAGGATTACCCCCTTCGCCTTCGTGGTCTGGATCTGTTGATAAAGAAAAGACTTGTCGTTGATTTGTGGGGAGTGAAATTTTCCTAGCCGCAATATAGATAGATATGTGGGGATGTCTTTGCGGGACCGAAACTTTGACCTCGATCTTATTCAAGAGGGATGCCATATGTGATATAAGGTCCAAGAAGTTCTTTTTAATCTGGTGTGATAGGACCAATGACATGGAAATACTGCCAGGCTAAGAAGATATGAAATAAGAATCTTCGTTCTGCTCTCCTTACCATCACTCCCACAACAATTCAGGTATATAATGGAGATTAGCTCTTGCTGAACTTCATGGACCACGTACCGCTCCACAATGTACCCTTGAAACCACAACCTTGAAGTTGCATGCTCAACAGCCGTACGAACAGTCCAAGGCCTGATCTGGCAGAAGTTAATTTCCATGATACGAAGGCAAGACCGCCTAGTAACATCAACTTTGGAGGAAACAATAGTGGTGCGGGCCAACCAGAAGTGACAGTTCGAGACTTGATCCAAAGAGGGGTTCGAAAGGTAGAACTGATCGTCGAGCTCCAAATGACACCATTGCGTGCTATTTCCTAGGACTGGGACTTGGAACGTGATTTGCTTTGAGCAGAAATGGAGTTGCTCGATCGTTGGTCAAAAGTACATAACAGGAACTGCGACCGAAAGAATATCATTTGACATAATGAGCAATCTTGATTCATCTGAGTATGCCTGATGTCGTCTGGATAAAAATCGGAACACGAAAAGGTCTTGTCCTCGTACAGGAATCTCATGATACCAAGATTCACCCCCACAGCCTTGCATGCCAGCCTCGGCTTTAAGCGAAAAGGCTTGCGTCTCGTCCCCTGCCTACCTTTCCTTGTAGCATATCTACTTTTCTGTCTACCCTCGCCCTTATAAGTATATTGTCTGATTTTCATTTCGAAATATCCTCATTCAATCCACTTAAATTATACAGTGTAGTTCAAACCTAACTCCAAGATGAATCCCTATGAAGGTAAGCTTCCCAACTCTCTTTGCCCCGCCATTGAGTTCCTTCGATGTTTTGATGAGCTCCTGTTAACATACAATAGTTGAGCATAACATAAAAGCGTCTCCGCAGTCGTCTCGACCTCGTCGCCGTCCTTCTATGTCCTCCTTCTTCAACCAATTATCGCAATGTGAAACCTCGACTTCTACTACTGATCCAAACTGGCATCACAATAATCCGCATGCTGTTCCTACTCCCGTATGTTCTTGCCCTCTTCCTCAAACTAAGACTCTACCCTCCAGTCGGTTCGAAGGCTAATTCATATGAACAGGTCGACGTAGCAGCCTCATATCGCCTCCTTCAAGACCAATTCCTAACCCTCCGCACCAATGACCCCTCCTCCACCACAGCCCCTCTTCTCGACCTTCTTATCTCCTCCATCACATCTCAAATCGACTCTCCGCCCACCACCATCTCCGGATGCTCTCAAGCCTACCTCGATACCATCGATCGCGTTCCTCGTTCCTCCCTAAAGGCGGATGAAACATGTCCGATCTGCGGCGAGAAGTTTCTGGATGACCAATATTGCTTAGTCGTTGTGTTACCATGTCATCAAACTCATAAATTTGATCTAGAGTGCGTGGGCCCGTGGTTGAGATTAAATGGGACATGTCCTTTGGATAGGAAGAAGGTTGGAGACGGGGAGGAGAGGGGGAAGGAGGCGGAGAGAGAGAGAGAGAGGATGAGGAGAGGCGTGGAAGGCTTAGGATTCGGGGCTGATGGGGAGGAAAGGAAGAAGGAGGAGGAGGAAAGAAGAAAGAGGGACGAGGACGAAGAAAGCGACGGCGATGATGGGATGTACGCTTAAGGTCCTATGGGGGCAGAGATTTCGAAAGGAAAATGTATGGGTTCATTGCAGGTAAGGATGAATGATAGCACGACCCGATGCCAGGCCGAGAAAAGTGCGGAATTTGGAATCAATACAGATGCGTCCTTGACCCATAGAAGAGCGGTAGCGAGAATGAGGGACTTGTAGGGAGAAGCCATCTTCCTTCACAAATTGGCAAGAAACAGATATCAGGGATCTGGAATACCCTCTTGCAAATAGTAAACAAGCGACGATATACCATTCAGTCATATACCATTATATACTTGAAGCTCATACATGTCCAAAGTCACACACAACGGTACACTTGGTATATCATTCCGGTTTGAACTCTCTTTCTTCTCATGTGCATGTGCCATGTGTTGGGCTTGCCGACTCTTGAGTGGTCTGATTCGGCGAGATAGAGAAGGGGAACATTAGTTCAATAGCACAACCTATGATAGCATTGACAGACTGTATATATGCATACATGTCTTCCTGATATCATGTACAGTAATCTACAGTGGACATAATGTCCCAAAAACATCAACACCGGTCTTCGTATCTCACTCCAATCTCCCCATCATCCCATCGTTCCCATCGTATCCATATTTCAAAGTAGAAGAGCATCTCAGATGAAGGTAAAATAAACGATCTATTATGACTATCCATTCCTATGTATCACTTGCTGAAACAAATGCAAGAGGACAATAAGGTCTATCTTCAATCTTCGCAATCCCCATCTCTACATGCGAAGAATGAAGAATAAATTTCGATATGTTGAATACGCCACGCCAAAGATTCTGTATGCATGCACGTTCTTATATCAAATTACACATCTCCGCCCATCTCTCTAATATTCTCAAAACTTCACATTTGTGTATATCCACTCTATGCTCCTTGCACCCAACTCCCAATCTTCGAGCTTACAAAGGGTATCTAAGCTTGAACTGGAACGGCACTTTGTTGAGCCAACATGTACTTGTAAGCACCGAAAGCCGCGAGTCCACCAATGAGAATGATAGCGTAAAGACCGACACCCATACCGGATTCGCCTTGGGAGGAAGAAGTGTAAGCGGTTGCTGCTTGGGCTTTTGGGGCTGGGTCGCCTGGCTAGAGGGATGTCAGTTTCTATGATATACCGAGCCGAGGGCGCATGTGATTGAGGGGACTCGGAATTGGAGTTTGGGGGGCTATTTGGGAAATTGAGAGGAAGATAGTGGTGGGCGTGGAGATAAGGGGGAGAAAAAGGTGATAGAAATGGGGGAAACATACCATGCGCTTCAAAGTACCAACGAGTAAACCATCAAGGATTTCTCTTGCCTCGTCACTGTGTCCAACATCCTCGAATGCTTCAGTTGCGTCTTGTCCGCCAACATCAAGGAGGACTTCTTCTCCACCACTATTAGAACATGCAAATTAGCAATCTGGCCTGATTTAACATAGACCTAAGTTCTGCAAAGACAATGGAATAGCCAAAAACCGGGAGACCACAGGCGGATGCGGTGCCAGAGGAGAATGAACGAACTTCGAGAACATGAAGTGAGATAACCAGATGTAAACCCTTATCCCCAACAATATAGCATTTGGTCTCCGGTACAATTCTCCATTCTCAATTCATCTGCGATGAAGCATAGCATCCCACTGCAATTCCCTCTCCATTCCCTCATATCCGAATCCTCCTGCCCCTCCTCATCCCACCTTCTGCAGAAGACAAATCTCAACAAGATAAATAGTAAACTTACGGATGTTCATCAACGAAAGCCGAAGTATCGTAAACCTTGTCATGAATAACCATAAACAAATCCTTCTTAGTCTTGTGTTCGGCTGCCTCAGCATATGTGTATTCCTTTGATTCCGACATCTTTTCTGTTGTATGTAAAGTTTGAAGTCCTTCTATATTGCTTCTTTTTTCTGTAACCTCGAAAGTGTTGTTGTGTTCGTAAATCGTTCTCGATTCAATTCCCTCGTCCGCAAATAATTCCTAGTGGACTTTTTGTATGGTAAAGGACAAATAATTCTTTTCCGATATCCGAAGCACAAGAAAATAAGTTAAGGGTAGTACGATGAAATATTGGCAGTTCGCAATTCACAAAAAACGAGACAACAACTATTCAATAAATCACTGCACAGGCTCCATGTACTATCTGGACTAATAACTTTAAAGCTCGGAGGCCGATCTGACTCTACGCCAATAGACGCTAATCAATATTCGGTTAAGAATTGCTCAGCACTTATTTCCTTATTGCTAATTGGTTGATCAAAAGGTACTCCGCGGAATGAGGGGTGCTTTGAGTTGATTACGACTTTATGGTACGGTGAGACACTACGGTAGATGAAGGATCGAAGTGAACATGATTGGTGATTACCAGGTGAGTGAGAATGAGAGTGACATGATGGAAGGGTTGACATTTGTGAGATTTGGGGCAGTGGATTATTCTGGAAAGTATATTTGGAAAGGAAGAGGACAACTTCCGAGCTTCCGTGGAGATTTTCTTCTCTTGTCACTCGAGTATCATCTATGGACGGCTGTCTTGTTATCCGATTTGCGAATCCTCATATTGAAGTTTTGTGAAAAGATGAGAAGAGAAGAGTGGGCAATGAATACGTAGAGTACTGGAAAGACCCTCGAGAGACCATGGTCCCAAACTCGACTCCACATGAACGTAACCCACTCTACAATTTATATCCCAATTCGGAAAACTTTCCATTCAACCAGTCATCGCATGCTCTTTTGCTGACAATCAGATCATACCAATCCCCACCTCACCTGCCTTATTATCTCCTCCCAACACATCTGGCATGTCTATCTTCTAGAGCTTCCACCACCAATATCTTGCCCTAATCTGTAACCTGCAATCTTATCCCATTCAATCTTTTGTCTGGTAATGGGCAACTGTCTTCTTAATCCTTTGAATGCTCCTTCGCTCAAATTATTAAATCCTTTATTGATCTCTTCCTGGTATTTCTTTTCAGCGCCGGCAATTTCCCGTACAATGCTAGGGGCCGACGATAATGCTGTTGCCGAGATAGGTTTGGTAGTAAGAAGTCGAACATTTCCATCTTCGTAGTAGTGAACGTCGACCTTGATACTGCCAGTGAGAGAGGAGTTCAAGGTTTCATAGATATATAATGAGCGCCAGCGACCGTTCCTATCCGATGTTAAATACTGATACGTTTAGAAAGATGACGTATATAGAGACTTACCAGAAGTTGTTTGGGCTGTATTTATTGGCAACAACAAGTATTGCGATCTTGGAATCGTTTTCAATGGGAAAAGCGCCGTATGATGCATTTGGAAAATGCTCTGCTACATGCGGACCCAAGCTCTTAAGGATCGACTTACTGCCTTGTGTCAGAATATAAACTGTCAGACTGTGTACCGCTAGGGGTACTTACACAAGATCTGCTTGACTGCCCTCTAAGACATAACTTTGCACTGCACTCGCTTTCTTTATTCCATTATCAGTCTATGATTCGCACACGAAGGTGTCAATAGAATACATACCTGCGTAGTGTGATCGAAAACAAAACTAGATGAACTCTCGACATCATAGTATCTTCCATCCCCCAGAGAATTATAGGAACTGATTATAACCTTCATGAAACCGTCAGTCCTCCTTCACGGGGTGCTGATTTGATCTGCCATCAAGAAACTAACATTTTGACTGCTTCCGGGAAGTTTGACTGTAGCAAACTGTTCCTCGTTATATCTCTCGAATGCAGGACCGAGTTCCGAGACAAGATTTGGTGTGTCGATGGTCAAAGCCTTGATATCTGTAGATTTCCCATACTTAGTCTAATGATGGGCAATATGCGAAGAAGAATGGTAATTGTGAAAGTTCGTACCAGCGATGACATCTGCGAGCTTTCAAAGAATGTTAGTTGGTAAAGAGCTTGGGTTCGTACAAAGGATACATCATACCTCTCCTGGTGGAGCTCCTTCCACGAACGCTGAGATGGTTTCTATTTGCGAGGACATTGTGAATGATTCTGGAAAATGAAAACAACGACTGACGCCAAGTATCTCAAGTAAATATAAACCTGTATCAATAATCGTCCTTGCTGGCTCAAATGGATGCGCTGGGGTTTTGAAACATAAAGTTGAATCAATTGGGCAAGCACGCGAGGCTGAAGCTCAACCCCTCAAGCCCCTCAATTCGTGGCGGTGTGTTGGCTCGTGCAATAAGGGGACACCTGGGCAACTTCACATTTTCTTCTGATTCTGTCATGTCTATACCTCGCTTTGCCTTCGATCCAATTAAGTTGACAAGTGCATCTTCTAATGGCTAGGATGACAGAATCTCCATCATGGGGATGAATTATCGAGTTCATGTTGCCCTCTCCTGGGAGTATTCAATTCCTAATGATCACCAATGGAAATCTGCACCAACATACAAATTGATGACGTTACTATTCATCACGTTACTTAATATCTTTATCAAATCCGCGAAGGCCGCTGAGATGAGGCTTCGGTAGTCCAAAGCTTCAAAGTTCTTCTAAAATCATCCAACAACCTAGTTTTCGCTTCTAAATTCGTCAGCTTGTGCAAGCTGGGTATGTCTACGGAATAAAGTTTACTCCTAGTCACCCCCCCCCCCCCCCCCTCCGCGCTGAATTTAGATATGGCCACATTTCTCTTTTATCCCTCTTACGCTTGTTCCAATACCTATTGTCGCATAATCAAGTTGTAATATTCCAATTCCAAGACCATACTGTTGCAAATCATGATCATTTTTTCTCAGAGTAGCTTCGTGCTGGCGAGGAATTATTCTTCGATCAGTTTCGCTAAAAGTTAGAACTCTATCTCCTTGGATATTTCCTCTCCAAACTATTTATCACTAGGCGTAACGAAAGTGTACTTTGGAGGCTTGATAAATGCACAATACCGAATTTGTTTCAGTCCATCACAATCTGTGAAGAACTTGCTGCCCCGCTCAAATATGAATATTTGTGCTAAATGTTTTCAGATGCACATTCGCTGTTCTGGTTACTGGCAGCACCGATGCCACTTGCGTTTGAGACTGTAACAGAAGGAATGATAAACTCAAATCACAAGAGTAAGTCGAGCAGCAATAAAGCAGCGTACATGGTGCCGATTTGTGATTGTAGTTTGTTTACAGGTGCTTTCTTCGCGATAACTTCCACTCAAAGAATATACGTATGATCGTATAGAATGGAGATCTGACTTAGTTTTGAAAGCAGTCCATCGTGGTCGTCTACTCTAGCAAAGAGTATCGAGGGTGAGATGTCATTTCTTCCGAGTTTCAACCAAGTACGTGAAGAAAGATCATCAGATCACAAAGTTTCCATGGATCCGATCGATATCAATGAAAGTTTCGCAGTTCCGTTACCTGCCCCACGCGTAAAGTTCAAAAGTCTTTCGGATTGGAAAGGTACACACCCTTTCACGAATTCCGGTTCGAAATTGGGACAGATACACTGAGTTATTTTGGTGACCTGTAGTTCTCTCGAATATAGTGTCATCTTGGTGCAGATCAACTTTTCAACAAATTTGGCTTGTGTCAACTGTCAAGTAGCTCATCAAGACCCGCTTTTATTTAGCCAAACGAACGAAGTATGATGCGTTGTGATCCTGCTCAAGTCTTCATTGTATTCTGACCCTTCTGCTTTTCACTGAATTCCATTCTATAAATACATTCAATGACATAAATCCAAGGAAATCCATATTCACTTCAGCAGCATACTTGACAGCCGTATCCCACTACCATCTTATCGACTAGCACCTCAACGTCCCTATAAGACTCTTTCCTAGATCCAATTACTTGAAAAATCAACTACGTGAATCTTAGGGAACTGTCCACTGATTACAATTGATTACTATAATCATGGCGATAACTACGCCGACTCCTCAGGTAATCTGCACGAGCTGTGGTGATGTCTCCAGCAATGCTATGCAAGTCCCATGCAGTCACCACTATTGTCTCACTTGTCTCGAACAATTCTTCGAGTTGGCATTAGAAGATCAATCAGTTTTCCCTCCGAGCTGCTGCAGTAAAGCGATCCCTATTGCCAATGTCAGCTCCTTTCTCAAACCTGTCGTTGTAGAAACATTCGAGAAAAAGAAGTTCGAGTTCGAAACGCGGTACAAGGTCTATTGCTCGTCTAAGCGTTGTTCAACTTTCATTCCTCCATCCAATATCGTCAGGGATAGAGGTACATGTCCCAAGTGCAATGTGAAAACACATACGTTGTGTAGGTCCACCAGTAGATACACAGACTCACGGGACAACGTGACAGAAAAGCATAATTTCATACTCAAATTTATCAACTTCAAAATTCAATCAAAATTCCAAATTCCATTTAATATTATTTAAATTAAGATATATAATTTATAAATATAAGATTTATATAATATATAAAAATTGAATTTTAAAAATAAATATTGAATTTAAAAATCAAATAATATGTTTTCTTATCAAATTTTTTGATGAAATATTATATAATCAATTATATAAACTTGAATTTTTTTTTTTTTTTTGAAATAAAACTTTCATTATATAAAATTCTTATATTTGAAAATAATAATTCTTAATTTCAAAGTCAAATATCAATTTTTTGAATTTTAATTGAATTATCAAAACAACTCTTTTTGGTGTGAAATTGTGCTTTTCCTCTTAAGTGTCTCGTGAGTCTGTGCACCCACTGGTGGTCGAAGGCACATGCTAGGAAGTGTCTGCGGGATGATTCAATAGAAGAGGTCCTTGATCTTGCGAGAGAAAACTTTTGGCAAAGATGTTACAAGTGCTGGGCTGTGGTAGCTATAGTTGATGGCTGTAATTACATGACGTACGTCCGCATTTCTGGCTTTGTGCATTGCAACCAATCACTAATACTGTAAAAGTTAGGTGCTGCTGTGGAGCTCATTTTTGCTATTACTGTGGAAAGGGATTGAGATTATGGACCAGACGACATTCTTGTGATCCCGGAAAACGTCAGCACCTCGTTCGTCCTAAACCTAGGTCTATGTTATGGTCGGGTTTATTCACACGGATTTTCCGTTCAAGTAGATCTTGAACATGGGATATGGGATCTTAGTCGGGGGAGGGGGAGTGTATATATCTACGAATGTCGCGCATACGATGTTCCATTATGTATACAATACTGGATATTCGACTCAATGTATGGAGATATGGAACAGCTTCATTGGAAGGTCAATAATTTTTGATACTAGCTCTCCTATCTCATGATGGGGCTACTGACGGCATGAAGTTTAGTGCTTGGGAATGGGGTGGGCGCATAGACATACATGTATCAATTCCATCACTAAAAGGGATTATGAAGTCTGTGGAAATTGGATGGATGTACGTAATTAGTTGAGAGATTCGTTGACCGAAATCAAATTATGGTTGAGATCAATTCATATAATCTCGTGATAGGGCACTAAACATGTTGCAGATAGAATCACAGATCATCTGTTTTGTTACATGACGTTGAAATCGATCAATTTTGAGCTAGCAATGATTTTGGGTTTGCATCGCAGTCACCGCTGGAGAAACTCTCTGGAAGTAATTCTGACCACAGCACAATCCTGAATAGGTCAAGGGAATACAATTGTAACTTCTTCTCCCAATCAATACGAAATAACACATCCGCAATTATTATATACCAATCCACATATCCACTACGCCAAATTTCTGATCGATAACATTTTTTCGTTTCCCGAAAATAAAATTCCCATCGCAAAGCAAAGACGAACCTCACATCCACCCAGCCCAACAGACCGTGTGGCAGCGGATCCACCCTTAATAATACTTACTACCAAGCCTCTCCCTAATTTTCCATTCCGCCGCCTCCAACTTCTTGATCGATTCATCAAATTTCCCTAACAATATCTCCAGACGACCTCTCCCAAATGCACCCTTTCTCTTCGTCTCTGTCTTCCTCAAAGTTTGCAACGCATGCCAGAATACCTTATAAACTCCATCCGCTTGTCCCAAGAGACTAATCGCCTTCTTTGCTACCTCCTCCAGCTCATATACTGGCGCGACTCTGAATTTTTTAGGCCCCGGATCCTTCACCGGCCAACTATCCTTCACTTCTTTTACTACTCCCGGTAGTCCGCCGGTCTTGCCCCCCCGGTAGGAGGTAAATTTATATCTCAGCTCCGGTATTCTTCTGTTTCGCCAGACGTCAATGTAATTTTCCATTTCAATTGTACTATTCATCCAATTGCTTTCCGTAAAATGCACCTTTGATTCCCACGGATCGCGCAACAGAATTCTTTTAACCCATTGTTTCCCTAATCCAGCCAATGGCCGTCGATTTGCTCCCCCCAATCTCTCATATTCCGCCTGAAATATTGCACGCGAAGCTTGTAGTTCTTCCTTGACACTCGTTATCGCTTTATCCCTACTATTCTCGAATGACTTCCAATGATAATCGATCCCATCCAATTCAGACAGCAAGTTGCTCACCGCTCGCGTATGATGTCTTGAATTACGACTTGAATCTGCATATAAATCATGATATGCTCTTAAATCAGCGCCCGCATCTCGAAGCTCAACAGGGATACTTTCGAACAAATATGCATTCTCAATCGTTTCTGAGAATACGCCAGCGACACCAATCGTATTGGATAGGAGATCGAAATTACTTTGCGAAACTCCTATGTTTGAAGTTGTTATCAAGATGAAGAAACAGAAATACGCAATATACACATGACCGAAGTGATCACTATAGGATCGATACCATTGTTTGGCCTTGGTCCAGTACTCTAGAACCAAAGCCCCTGTCTCCGAAACCCAGAAATCTTCGAGCCAAGAATTTGAAGAACTTCGAGAGACTGGGAAGTCATGAGGCGTCCGCGTGATTCGCTCAGAGGTTTCCTTGTAGGGTGAGGTTGGGGCGGACACGCATTTCCTCAGTGAGGCAGCTTTGTTGGCTGCATGGGTCTTGGCGGAGGAGACTTTCCGGGACGAGGATTCAAAAAAATTGCGATCGAGGCCAGATGCTGTTTCTTTAGCTGCCATGCTGAATGATTTGCTCGGCAAGTGAGAAGTGTGCTCAAATGTCTGCGGATTCCTGAGATGTTGTGCTTCTTTGTGGGTATGTCGCTTGATCGGACAATTTTGCAAGTTCTAGTGTTATAGAACGAATTAATGATGCTAGATCAATTTATGCAACTTGATTGATGTTATCCAGATCATTTGAGAGCTGAAGCGGTTCGAGTATTGAATTTCAAGTAGGTAGAAGGTATGTCATTTGGTATAAATGCATTAAGATTGAGAATGCGCAAAGTAACTAGATTAAATGAAAGGAAATGACAAAGACAAAACAAAGAATTTCACTCTATCTTCTGCTTCCAGATCACATTTTCAAGCTCTTTCTTTTGAAGAATTTGAAGTACGAAGAACAAAGAAAACATTGTCAAATAGGTTACCTAAGTGGAATGGAATCATCAGAAGAGCGTGTGAGCTATGTTGATGAAGTAGCATATATGATGGCTACTGCTAGCTCGATTGGTAGTGTAGATGGGAATCAAATTTTGGAAAATGCCGATGAACGCAACGAGCCATGACATGAATAAATAGCTCGCATTTTGAATGTAGGCACCCTAACGTCGTGAAATTTTCAAATATTTCACTGTGATCTGGGAATTGAACTTGTTCAAGATTAAGTTTAGGTGTCGAGAATATATCACATATCAAACTCAAAGTACCTCTAAAAGTCGCCTAGAACAATGTTGAATTTTCCAACACAAATTTTGACACTTGAATGCTCAACGTTTCGCTTTGTACGCCTTATTTTCATTCGTTGTGTAAGGAGGGGAGTTTGTCAAAGATCTAATGCCCAGACACTCCATCGATGCCACTTAGCATCAAAGGCTTGTATCTCTTCTTGGAACAGAATCAGTGATGTTGTCAGACTAGTTGTTGTAGTACAAGCAGAATTTCGCGGTCATATATACATGTTGTGCTTTTTTGGTCCACAAAAGTACTCAGCTTAATCGTTTCCGTTATTGTGGGAGATGGAACATATGTAAGCTGCATAGCCGTAAAGAAAATGTAATTTCCTCTTCCTCTACAACAACTGTGTTAAATCCGTCGTTTTAGAACAGAGTCAACATGAACGTGAATGTTAGAATAATTTTACTAATCGCTCACGATAGCGAAGGTGACCGAGTTGCTCACTGTAAAATAAGCATCTACACGCCAGAAGAATCCATATTGATCAAATAGCCAAAGAAACCGTTCTAGATAATTTATGGTATCATGATAATCGAGAAATACATTTACCTGAATTGCCAACCACCGGAGAGCGCTCATCTCCAGTTCCTCCCTTCCCGACAAAATTACTAAAATTCTGATCTAATGTCCTCCATATCCGTCTCATCTCCATCTTCTTCAGATAGTTCATCCTTCTTCTCATTATGGACTTCGTCGTTCTCATCATGAGCCTCGTCTTCTCCAGGTTCAGTTGGCGACGTAAAATTTGAGGTACAAATTGGCTTTAAGACAAAATCGAGACCACTTATAACTCGCTTGAACCTCTTTTTGCTATTCTGCTTGGGATCTCCATCCTCAATCTGTTGATCGTCAACTGATGGAGTGACTTGGTTGCCATTTTTATCAAACAGATATGACGGAACCGTTGGTGATTCTGATCCCTGGAGGCCATCTAGTGGAAAATTATTAGGATTGAAGTTTATAAATTTATGCAGATTCAGAGCTAATCATCGTGTGTTGCATTGAAATTACGAAATGCATCTTACCTAATGAATTCGTAGGCCCGTCACCCATGTGCCAAGCATAGCGGATTATGTGCTTTTTCTCAACATGCCTCTTCCACTTGTTCCCATCTTCAAACTCTCGTGGTTTCCTAATTGCCGATTTTAATGCCAAGGAATTTACACTTTCTGTATGTTGTGCAGCAGCGGCGCACCCCTTCCATAAGCATCGAAACTTGCCATTCTCCCTCTTACCATGAACTTTAAAGAGGTGCATTTTCAACGTAGCCAAGTTGTGTAATTCAGCAGGACACTTGTCCCACTCACAGCCATAAACAAGGAAGTTTGGATTCAGGGGTTCAAGATCTACTTCAGGGGAAGGTTGCTTTGGTGGGCGACCTCGTTTCTTTGGTGGATTGTCATCTAATTGGGGATTTTGATTTTTGGGGGATTTGAGCTTTTGGTCTTTAACCATGAATGAGTCCGAATCGTTACTTCCGGCTAACGCCGATTGATCTTTAGGTGGTCTGCCTCGTCGTTTTGGTATATTCGACTTTTGAGATTTTTGATGTAAAGGATCGGAAAGATTCTTCGGTGGACGTCCCCGCCGAGGTGCGGTCGGAGACCTGATCACCACCTGGGCCAAATTTCCAGCAACAGCTTGTGACGGTAAATTCCCTACTAGCTGTTCAGAATTCATCCGAATGGAGTGGTCCATACTCGGCGGGCCTGGCGTAAACGGCTGATATTCTGATGCGCTCTGATTTTGAAGATACCCAGAATGTTGTGTCGCAGGGATTCTGTTATCATTGCTCATGTAATGTGGAACTTGAGTTTGATTGTATGAGTAACTTTGAAAATAGGGAGGCGGCCGTGGTGGTTGATTTTGATACGCTTGCACGTGTTGTCGGTTGTGCTCGAATTGCTGCTGCTGAAGGTTTCGCTGTTGAGGGTTTTGCACATGAATTTGTGGTTGGGTTTGATGATAATGGCGCTGCACCGAATCTTCTTCAGCCATCCAAAATTGATCAGGGGCCCGATTTAAGGAAGAATTATTCATCGGTAGCATTGTTGTTGATTTCCGAGAAATCCTGGTCGTATTTATATTGCTAGAAGTGGATGTCGAGTATATCTTGAAGTGTTGCTTGCACGACGAATGATTACGTAATCACATAACTACCTAAAAGAATGACGGTCAAAATGAGTTATTGTAATACGACATAACAATCCTGTCCTAGACCCTATCAGATTCAAAAATCTTGTACCCTTCCTTCTATTATTAGGGCAATGAAGCAGTTCTTTCTTCCTTGATTGGGCTTCGTTGCCCTTCAGTTCCCTTTCTCTAATTCCCTGATGCTTCTGATTTGGAAAGAGCAATCAAGATTCAAAGCTGCAAAAACTGGATTTCCAAGATATTTCTCACATAGAGCTTATATATAAAGCCTCGTCGTTCATTTTCTTAGTGGAATATGCACTTTGATTATTGGGGCGTGAGGATACACGCATAGTTTTAGAGCTCTTATATCTGGCAGTGGGGACTTCCAAGGTTGCAGAGGAATTGTGAAATGCACTTCGATCAAACGCCCCTTGAATCCAGAATCTGAAGACTTAGATTGATTATTCACAGATATAAATCAATAGGTATCTACGCAGTAGCTGGTTACTGTCATTCTTCTATTACAAAATCTAATTGAAAGAGCCAAAGTTTCGAAAGCATGTACCCTTGAATTTGAAGGTGAGTACCGCCTGAAGCAAATGATTTCTCAGCTTGTGACGGTCCTCCACTTTTCAATCCCTATTGAGGGAGTGCATACCTCTCCGGACTGACTTCTTAAAAGTGTCAGGATCGTCATCATCATTGTTAGCAACTTCTGGATCAATCTCAACAACCTTAACGCCCCAGCTCTGGTAGCTCTGGATTTTACCACCTGTCTAGGGGGCATTTAAATGTTCTTTCTGGACAATTTTTCGATGGCAGAGACTAGAAATTGTTAGTATAAGTTCATTGTTTGGTTTCGTGTGATAGTTTTGACCAAACTTACATGTAGTGAGTAGTGAGTATTCCGACGAACGCAAGCCAGTTTGACCATTCAATTGCCATCAACATCGATATTCTTTACCAAAATAAACAAATCTTATGAGCATCAAAACTTATGTACCATGTCTATCACAAGCCGGGCATGCTCTTGGCTTTCCTATCTTGATGGGAGTCTCCGCTGAGTTGGGTGAGTCTTCAGACAGAAGCTTTCCCTCAATGACCCTCTTCTACAAATTGGTAATTCGGGCATGCTTTACTAGTCAGTTAGTTTTGATCCCTATGTTCGATTAGAAGACTTACTCTTGGCTTTGATCCCTTGACAGGAACCTCCAATGGCCTCCCTAGCAGCACCAATGTACAAATCAACCGCAAGAAATGATTTGATCTCAATCATATGAAGAAGAAGAGAAAGTCGAGGAGAAAAGCGCTACCAAGAATTGAAGGAATTCTCTCGGACATCGCATGTGAATAGATAACCAACTGGAAATTGTCATTTTTTTCGATATCTGACAGAATCTCTTCAATTCTTGGTAAGGCTTTTCTCCTCGGCTTTCTCTTCTTCTTGGTATGGTTCAGATCAAGGCAGGTTACCGAGCTCGAATATCAACGACAGCGGCGGAACTTGGTTGAGATCAAGAGATGTCTGTATTGTTCCGGGTTAATGACCAACATCCTCCGAACATGCACGGCGCTTCGTAGTATTGCCCGTACCTCAGAGTCAGCTGCTACAAAAGTACCATGTCGGTAGGTAGACTGAGTAATGGGAAGATAAGCCGACATATAGTTTCCTGATTTCTCGCCCGCTTTGTTGTGGCTTTTACTTCGCCAAAGGGCTTGTTGACCCAAACACCGCGCGGGCCCAGGAACTGATGGTCGAGACTTGGTCCAGCGAGCTCCAATCAATAGATAGGCCAAGTTCTCGGCTCTTGGACTGGTCACTATTACTGTAGAGTAAGTCAGCTACCACGGACAATCAGTACGAGAGAAAGAACAAATACCTCAGAAGAGCTTGTTGATGGTACTGATGCACGATCTTCGACGGCCGCAGCCCTTTTTGGAGGTGGTGCGAAGGTGAGGGGACGACACCCCTACAGCCTTCAGCAACGCACCTGGCACCTTCTCAGGACAATTATGTTATCCTTTCGACTCGCTCAGCACTTCACGAGAAATCAAAGTCCTCTTGCAATCGAAGAAGGCTTTGGCTTTTGCTTGTGTGGATATTATGTTCTGCGTTGCAACACGTTAGTATCATTGTAATCTTAAATGCTTGTTGCATAAGGACTCGGTCTTTGATCAATGTTCTCTTGAAAGGGATTGTCCTTATCGACATGGGAAATCAAATATTCGACAACGCTAAGTTCTAATATTCCTCTGCAAGTTCGATGAAAATCGATGGACCAGAGAGAAAAAGACAACAATGACCAAGGATTTGGACAGTTTAAGAGGAAAGCTGTTCATAGAGTAGTTCTCTTTAACCCACATCATTGGTGTGCTGTTGTGAATGGTTGGTTGCATCTCGATATGCAGCTTGTAATACATTCAATCTATGAAGATTGCTGCGACATTCCTAGAGACTTTCGAAGAGATAGCATCAGATTATCAACTTACCAGAACAAATTAACACCTTGCAAGATACATGCAGTTGGTAGTATGCAACAAAAAAAGTTGAAGTTGGAAGAATAAATTTTGGTAGCAAGAAGCAACTGGAACTTTCGAGAGGTTATATTCGAGGAAAATACCAAGATTGTGTGAGAAAATTCCAAGAGGGCAGAAGAAAACTCGGCTATTCTGTCCAAGGAAATCTTCTTAACTGTTTATGGTCAATGAAACTCGGGCCGAACTGGCCCGGCTTTGTGCAATATTGATGTTAAACTGAAGGTTCAAGTTTGCCAGGCCCCTTGTCTCCACTTCATCAAACAGTGATCTCTTACTAGGTCAAACGAATGTAGAATAAATTATACTATTTTTGACATTCAATCCTGTGAGCCATCTGTGCATGTGTTTATAAAGGGCTTCCCTTTTATGAACCCTAATAAGTTGCTGATCTGTCTGTTTTATACACTTCAAGGGTGTCAAACTTCAAATATGGTGATTTTATAGTTCATCTTGATCTTCTTGACCAGGTAAATAATGATCCAGAATACTTCGTATTTCCAAGAGGCCTTCAAAGAATCCAGTGAAATCTTAATACTACTCCGAGCCATAGGTAATAGAGCTGGATGTTCATGGAACATCAAGAGATATGGATTTCTTTCATGTTAATGAATATAGTTCTGAACTTACCACTATTATTCAGAAAACGAAACACCCACTGTTGCTTTTTATCTCCCAGTTCTGCGCCTTCGACAAGCTCAGAAATCTCCCGAATTGCCCCACGATACTTATTGAAGGATGGATGTATCTTACAGTCTGCACTTGGAGAAAAGAGCCGCTTTGAACCGGTTCCGATGTCTCTTACTTCGACTTTCAAGAATTATACAAAAAGCTTCAGATCCTAAATTCGTGCTGTTCGAGAGGCCGGCCCTAACCAGTGAGGGAGCTTGAAAGACTCTGCGAATCGATGAGGAATACTTAACTTAGTGAAACTGCTGCATCTAGTCCTATGCAATTATAGTTCTGATATGTGGTCGGAATAAATTTCGTAGCATGCGAAGCTTCTGTGAACGTGGAATTATGAATCTGAACAAGTCGAACCTCAGAAGAACTCTGCATAGATTAATCCCTGAGGAAGATAAGGGCATTTGGGTTAATTCAAGAATCGCCGAACAAGACTCGCCGTCCTCGTTCAATCATCCTACTTCAAATATGACACTGCAAGCATCCATGGAGAGATATGCTAACAAAGGAGGAGAGTCTCAGTGGGATGATCTGAATTTCGAGATATACTACACAAGCCGGAGTGGCTTTGTGACTTCAACAAAGTCATTTAGACTATAGTAGCAAGAGACGATATGCACTGGTAATTTTTGGAAATCCCCCCCCAGGGTGGTGAGCTTATCATTTGAAAGTGGTGATTTGGTTGCAACGCAGCGAGATTTGACATATAGCCAGTCTTTTCCTTAGCATCATGGTATCGGCGAATGCCGAAGCTCTTGTACTTGATTGTATTTTCTCCTTTGATACAAAGAGCCCTCAGTACCCTTTTTGCGATTCTCATCAAGTGTGGGTTTCGATCCATCAACCAACAAGGATAATCAGTAGCTCTCAACCTCAGCCTTGGTCTATTACAACCATTTTACCGCCTACTACCGTTTATGATGCGTTGCGGAGTCTTGATAACATTCAAATCTCGTCATACTACACAATTTCTATGGGGAGATTAGGTCTCAAGAAACCTAACGAGCGAAATCTGTGAGACGAACAGAGAAAAATCGAAGTGGAATCACCATCACACAGAACTTTCTACCAAGCTGAACTCCAGGTAATTAGAAACGAACGAATCAGTATTTCATTAAATTCTGAAGGAAGTTCACAGAATCTCCAACGCCACCTCGTACGGCAAATCTTGCATCCTTGAGAGTAGGAGACACTGGAAACACTTAGTTTCATAGTTTGGGGTGATTTTCATTGCCTTAGTACTTGAGCTGTCAAAATGGCACATCTCAAAAGTGCTGATTAATGGGGGACCCATCACGGCGTCATAGAAAAGTACACCAAACTGTCGTTATAAGAAAACATGCCTGAGGTGGATGAAACTCTTCGACAATTTAGCCACTCATTGACGCCTTTTATCATGTAGAACCATTCTGTTTTTCTGTGCGCAGACACCTTGTAAAAAATTTCAGTCTTTGCGTGGCTCTTTCGTCTTTGAATAGTTGCTATATGTGATACTGCTCCAAAATGCTCCAAAGGAAGTATATCTGAACTCCAATTTCTCTCTGAGTTGCATCATAGAAATAGCAGATGGAGAGTTTGCCTTTCATCGGAAGCATCTGTTCGGATTCGCTTTCACCACTGGACTATACTTTGGATTCGGCGAATCGTCGCTGTGGATTAATCGCAATTAGATGTTCCTCTGGTTCTACAGGTAGGGAGTGAGTACATCTCACTCCGGCCCCTTGGCTGCATTGCGTTTCTCGAGCTGTCAGCATTTACTGTATTGCCTCGTTGATGAAATAGCATCCTATAATGTATACATGAGAGCTACTCGGATACTTGATTATTGGAACCAGAGTAACCTTATTTGTAAATGATAATATACAGTTTTCATTGCGAGAGATGCGAAACCCCCCAAGCCCCAAACCCCCACTTCTAAGCTAGTCCAACGGCGTCCTAGGCACAAATCGTGCATTCCTCCGCCTAACCACCAAGCATGGATTGGGCCGTCTTTCAACCGTCTAAGCCCCTAAAATAAACCTGAGAAATCAGACCACCTTCAAACAGCTCACTTAAAAACGTCGTATCACATCAAATAATCACCTACATACGAGTACTCAGAAAATGGATTGGGAGACTCCCCGGAGGAAGAATATAACAGCATGATTGTGGCGTCACAATATCTATCGCGACCGGCCTGATCACAGAAATTCCAAGACGAAAAAACCTGGTGGACGATGACATGGAATAATCAGAAATCTTTTACTCTTGATAATCCTGTTCCCGGAGACCGTAGATACCGTGTAGCTCTCGGATCAAAGGTAAAAATTTACTCGATAATTTAGGTTCGTAGGGCGAGAGACATTCATTTATTCGTAACAAAATTAATACCTAGGTAGCTTTGTAACCCCGCATCCTGATTGATGTGATACGCGTAGCTGGAAGCTAGAGAATACGTGGTGGACTGTCAAAACACCTTTCCCCGCATTCATGCGGGGACGACCTCAAACCTTGTTCTGACCGAGAACGGAAAGCTTCCATAGCATATTCCAAAATCACGGTATTGGTAGCTCCCATACGACACGTTTGGCAGGGATTTCTATGATAAATGACATAGTGGCTCATCCACAAAGCGAATTGAGTAGCAAAACCACGCCATTTCTGAACCTCCCGAGCAAATTCTGGTATATATCCCCTCTCTGGCGGGAGGAGGGGCAATGCACAATGCGTCCATTCTGTGGATACCGATAGCTTTTTAGCCCCTCGCCGGTGTTTTTCCACACGTCCGCCGCCGTGAATCCCAGCCTCTAGGGTATCGCCAAATCCAACAAGAACAGGTGCCTCGATGATCTGCCCAATTAGCAGGTGAATTCTACCTAGGTATACTGATTAGTCCTTTCCATGAATCCGAGCTACAAACTCAATTTTAGAATGATCCAATAGCATAAAGTGAAAGAACAAAGAAACGCAAGCTTCTAAGTGCGCGACTGTAGATCAGAACTAGACATCCGAGACATTACACCTCAGTAGGAGTGGGGTTATCTTCGTTGGAGGGGCTAGAGCTTGGATAACTAGGTACCATCATATGATTGTTTGGATTACTATATATTCACTGATTCCCAAGCCTCTAAGAGGTATTCTCTATTTAGTATTCAATTATTGTCATACCATCATATATCAATCAACAATTACACCCACATATCTTATTCAGAACAATCTCAACAAACTCCCAGTAAAACATCTACATCATCCCAAATATCAAAAATGGAGAATCTCCCAAAGGAACAATGGGCGCAAGTAGTCGAAGAAACTGGCAAACGTATGTTTATTCCTTCCCTTATCATCAGTTCTCATCCCCCTTATCCGCATTCCTCATTTCCGACCTCACAATTAACCTACAACTATAGCCGTCGTCTACAAGAAAATCCCCGTCCAAAAGCCCGGTCCTGACGAAGTCCTCGTAAACATAAAGTTTTCCGGTGTATGTCACACTGATTTACATGCTGTAAATGGTGACTGGCCATTAGACACAAAGCTTCCACTCGTGGGAGGACACGAGGGAGCTGGTATTGTTGTTGCCGTTGGTAGTCTTGTTGAGGATGTGAAGGTTGGTGATCATGCTGGTGTTAAGGTAAGTTGTGTCCATCCTTCTGTTCTCATGGAAAATGTGGGAAATTAGAAGGCAAGTATTAATTCAAGTATAGTGGTTGAATGGAAGTTGCCTCGCCTGTGATTTCTGTCAACAATCTGACGAACCACTCTGCGCCAAAGCCCTCCTCTCAGGATACACAGTCGATGGGACGTTTCAAGAATATTGCATCGCAAAAGCCGCACACGTTGCACGTATTCCAAAGGAATGCGATCTCGAAGCCATTGCTCCCGTTCTTTGCGCTGGTATAACCGTTTACAAGGGCCTGAAAGAATCTGGAGTTCGCCCAGGTCAAACTGTAGCTATTGTTGGTGCTGGAGGCGGTTTAGGATCGCTTGCATGCCAGTATGCTAAAGCTATGGGATTAGACATTATTGCAATTGACGGAGGTGCCGAGAAGAAGAAAATGACACAAGAGTTGGGAGCGCAGCATTATGTTGACTTTATGTCAAGCAGCAATCTGGTCAATGACGTCAAGGCTTGCACACGCGATGGATTGGGACCTCATGCTGTTATTTTGGTTGCGGTCAATGAAAAGCCATTCCAGCAAGCTGCGGAGTATGTTCGACCCCGCGGTACTGTCGTTGCTATCGGTCTCCCAGCTGGTGCTTATCTTCGTGCGCCTGTTTTCGAGTCAGTTGTCAAGATGATTACCATCAAGGGATCGTACGTTGGCAACCGACAAGATTCTGCTGAGGCTATTGAGTTTTTCAGACGTGGTCTTATTAAGGCTCCGTATAAGACATGCGGTTTGAGCGAGTTGCAGAAAGTCTATGACTTGATGAACGAGGGCAAGATTGCTGGAAGATATGTGGTTGATACCAGCAAATGATTGAGTTGATTGTCATGGGAAATGGAACGGAATGGTCAACGGCGTGAAGCTAGGGATCAATAGGCTTTATGAGTGCGTTTTTGGGATCTTTACTTAAGTATCAAACTACCAATATGGTGTTTTAGCGTGCATTGTAGTAATGAGAAAAGAATGAGATTTTAAGCTCTACAGTGGAAGCGTGTGAGACTGTAGTCCTATGGTGACACATGAGTGTTGTGGCAATGAATTCGAATTGCTCTGATCACTAGATACAAAGATACTGATAATCTGCCGAGCGTGAACCTAACATTTTAGATAGATGAGAACTCAATCTAATCAAAAGAAGGATCATTATTGGCTTTTCACGCCGCCGCACGTGCCAAAAATCATCCTTTCCACATCCATGGAGCCGGGTAAGTAAATTGGCTCTTTTGTTGCATGTCTTAGTCCTACCAGCACCTGTAGGACTGACGCAGCCACTGGATGGAAAGATGACTGTCGTCTTTTGTTGCACTTCTCAGTCCACCAGATGTGACACAGGGCAGGTCTCTGTAATTCGGATCATCTCAGTGACACGTATACTAATACCCTCGGGCTAGTGTCTCTTTGCACCACCAGTGCTGAATACTGGCCATACGTCACTTTGTATGCCCCCGAATTGTGTAATGTATTAGCACGTTTTGTTGCACATCTGAATTCAAGAACCGCAAGTAATACAACGTACTTTATACTCGCCGTATACAACTAGCATTGGTCCGGGAAACGGCTGAGGTAGGCACCCCTTAGCGGCTCTTGAGCCTGAAGGATAATTCATTATTCTTCTGTTATAAAATCATAAGACATAACTTTAAGCAATACAATTGTCCCGAGCATAGTAAGTGGTACTGATATCCACTAACATGATTCTGGAAGTATGTATGTGTATCACTGCATGCCTCGATTACTAGCCCTAGGCCAGTTGGGAGGATATCATAGTCTGCTGCATGTTTTGTTGCACATCTCAGTCAAAACACAAATGTAACACAAGTTTCTTGCATGATAGCCTTGAACACACATCTAGGATTGGTACAAACAAGAGTGTCATGCGGCACCAATCGAGATGAGAGTGAGGGCGTGCAGATTTCTGAGGAGAATTTGCGTTTTGTTGCATATCTCATCCAAATCAACACAGGTAACACGAGTGCCAGCACCTACTGCTCACATAGCCTCTGTTTAAATGACACAGCCCTTTATGTGAGCTCATAGAACATCGGGGTAGGTGTGTTGGAAAAGCACATTGCAAATCCTTGCTGAAATCAGCGTACAGAGATGACGATTCGTTGTAGCCCGGTCGTAGATGAGTCATATATCTCGGCTACTGAGGGGACAAGAATATATGTACTTGTAAAGAAGGAAGTGTTATGATCGTTGCATATCTTATCTAGATGAAAATGTCTGTGACGTGTTTGCTTAGGCCCAGTGCACCCCCATATTATCTAGAATTGATTTAGGAGAGCAAGTCATGCGTGTCAAACTGTGACAAAGATGATCATTTATGCGTACATGCATATCGTTAAAGAATGCACAAGGTGTATAGATAGATTGGAAAATACATGATAGTCCTGGGGGTTGTGGTCAAAGCGGGGCGAATGATTTGGGGCAATGATATATCATATCAAGGGTTCGTGAGATCGTGAATCTCAGTACCACAAGGGCAAGAATCGGAGAAAACTAATTGGGATAAGATTTCGTTTTAAGACAGCAAAAGCCTGTTGCATGATATGATACTCGCAGGAAAGGAAGAAGGAAGCAGACCTTCCGCACTTAAGAAAGGTAATTCGTCAAATATCGTGGCCAAACATATCAAAACGCATTTCAATCTGTAGAAGAAAGAGAGACGATAACTAGCACTGCTTCCTCGCTCGGATAAATTCTGATGATCGCTACTGATAGTGACATTGAAAGCGTTGGATTTCGATCGGTGATAGTTCGTGGTCCAGGAGACGTCTCCGCTACGCAATGGGAAAGATCAATGTCGGCAGCCACTTCTGCATACCATGTCGTTGCGAGTGTAACCCTATATGCGCTGGCAGATGCATCACATGAAAGCCACCATAATCTCTGAATGTCACTGAATGTCACTGTTGACGATTTTCCGGACAGCTTGGTATTGGATGAGCCCTAGTCAACTCATGAGAATGTCACCGTAGCACAACGTTAACGTTTCCCAAGCTCGCGACGAATAGGTTTACCCTACATATGTCCGACATATCACGGGTACGAAAATCTTCGGTTCAATCTTGTCTCCATCTTGTCAATATGATATCGTAACGAGAACGATGAGGCTCGACGATTAACGATCTCAACGTGGGGGAAACGTTTGAAAAGTACCTACCCAGTCAGTACCTATTCTGTACAATATTCATAGGGTGTGCTTAATCAGCGGGGATTTTTTAATTGCTCACGTGTAAATTATCGCGTCCGATAATAGATAACAGATAAGGAACGCGAGCGCGGATTGACGCGTTGAGGCAACCATGGCCTGCCTGCCTATGCAACAAAATACATTACAATACAGACAACGACGATACAAACTTCAAGCAAAATGCCTCCAAAGCAGAAGTCTAGACCAAAAGGCAGTGCGCCCGTAAATCGAACGTACAAAGCAGTTGAACCATTGTATCAAACTACATTTCCAGAAACGAAAAAGCGTGTAACTAGGAACTATGGCAAGAAATCTAAGCTGAAGCTCGAGGATCAGGATACACTTACGCAGATGGATTGGGTAAAAATGCATGAACAAGAAGAACAGGGAAAGCAACTGGAGGATGATATTGAGGATATTCAAGGAGATTTTGTGGAAGAAGAATCGAAACGAAGAACGAAACGACGGAGGACTATGGGCGATGAACCAGAGGCAAAGAAGAAAAAAGGATCGAAGAATAGACGGAAGACTCTAGGAGAGGAAGGCAGGACACCAAGTTTCTCAACGCAGACGATTACTCAACTTGATTATTGGCCACTTTCCGGAGCACGAGAACCAGAAGAACCAGAGGACGATCCATCAATCTATGATGTCCCAGTATCCAGCTCTCCAGCATTTCAACCACTTCGACGAAGTCCGCGAAAGTTATCCAAACCTACTACTTCTGATCCAGCTCAATTAATGCCTCCACCACAAACACCAAGACATAGGAAGATTCTTGAGATTCCATCATCACAATCACCGGCTACACCAACGTCAAGTCAATTTGGAGTTTCCGCACGAAAGCGGTCGCCACTCAAAGAGCAATCTACAAATGTCATAGTACCCTTCTCCCTACGATCAAACACAATCAAAAGTGCCGAAAAGATACCCAAATTAAGAGTTGAGGATACCTATGAGACCGGAACAGATGAAAGTCAAGTCCTTCGGACCCCCTCAAAGCATTCGAGTCCGGCCAAAACGGTACGCTTTGCTATACCAGATCCTAGTCAGGAATCTTTTGCGGAGGAGACTCCCATAAAAGAAGAACATGCCACTCAACGTGACTTGTCGCGATCGCCTACCCGCCGGTTGGGGACCCCTGCCCCCAAGAATATGAAATTCGAAATTCTGGATTCAGATGCGGAGGACGAAGAAGATGAGGAATCTAAAGTTGTGGCGGATACCCCAACACAAAATATCCCTGGCTTTGAAAGTATCACGAATGCAGGAGACACGGTTGAGAACACAGCTGGAACGCCAGAGCAGGACGATGATCGCTCAGCGTATGATACTATTAGACAAACAGAAGGGGACGTTGAGCAGGAATCCGAACTTCCAGAAACATTTTATGGAGATATAGGAGCGGAAACACAATTCCAGGCTGAGCGGATCATGTCTTCGTCGAGTTTAAGTGATGTCGAAGAAAATACTCCATTAAGCGACGACGCGGCCGGAACTGTATCTTATGGTAGTAGCCAGTTACCACAAACCCAATATGCCACTATCCAGCATACACAAACTCGATATTCTCAAATCCGCCGCACTGGAACTCAATATACCCAAAAGCAGACCCAGTTTGGTAAAAGTCAATATCCTGAGAGCCAACGCCTCTCCACACAACATTTGGATGCTATGGCACCGCGATCGGATTCTTCTGATGTATTTGTCTCTATATATCCTACCCACGTGGAAAATATAATCTCCCGTGAGAAGAACCACGAGTTTCGATCATATAGTTTTCCAGCTACTGTATCCCGCATCTGGATTTACCAAATCAGACCTCTATCGACTCTTACTCATATGGCAGTCATTGGCCCGCCCAAAACACCTGGAGAGATAACGAATATTTATGGGCTTGGTAACAGTGAGTTTAATAAGGGCGAAAAACGTTCCAAGTTTGCATATGAAATCCTAGAATTATATGCGCTCGCAAATCCAATGACCCTGGAAGAATTGAAGAGCCGACAATGGTTCAAGGCTGCTCCACAGAAATATAATAAGGTACCACCCGCAGTCTTAGGGGAACTGATTGCGAATTTGTTACCACCTCTTTTCACACAATCTTCTTCGGCTGTAGATAATATACATCCCGCATCCACACTACACAGAAAATCAAGCACGAGCACTGAATCTCAAGAAGTACTAGATCAGATCACGAATAACATTCAACAATTCTCACACACACAAGCACCATCTTCCTTACCACCTTGCTCGCCTCCTTCTTCGCCCCCAATCGCAACGCAAACTCCTGTGATTCATGTACCATCTTCACAGCGTCAATTTGTGAGGCTATCACAAGCTTCAACGGTTGATTATACACAAACTCAAACACCTGCTACTCCACGTCGTTCACGAAATGAACGAAAGGAAACTCCCATTCCAGAGGTTATTCCGGAATCACCGACAAAATCTATTCCTTCTTCCTCGCGTGGTAGTAGTCCGGTGCAGATATTGACACCTATTGTGCCGAGAAGAGGGGAGAGAAGGTTTATTGAGATTGAAAGTCAGAGTGATGATGAGGCTGACTTGGACGAGGACAGTTTGCCTGTTGTTACGACGAGGGGGAGTGCGGTTA